CCTTTTTTTCATACGTTTAAATTTCTGTCCAAGTATAAAAAACATACTTTTTTCCAGACTTAACCCTAAATTAACGAGAATGAAAAATCCTATGTAGAATGTTTTTAACAACAGTTTGAAAGGAATATGTTTGACTCCTTACAAGCAAAACTTTAAAAACATAAGACCACTAAGCACGTTATCTTGCAGATAAACTACTTTTGAGACTAAAATAATATCCGTCAGATATACCATTTAACAACAACATTAAGAAATAAAACTCCCGAGTGATTGTTTGTTTGTTGTTAAACGCAAAGCTACACGACGGCCTATATGTGCTGTAACCACCACAGGTGTCATAAGTCATCAGACTGGAGAGCGATGAGGAATAAAAGAAAACGTAAAATGTGTTTAATGTACATAAATTAAATGGAAATAATTTCATTTCATTTACTAACAAAATAATACTCAAATTAAAATTTTATAGCAAATTAAATAATTAGCCATTCAGCTCATTAAAAAAATGAAATAATAATTTTCTGTTAAACTTTAAGAGAAAAAAAAATGCTAAAAGAAGAACTTCATATGTACTCTGTTTTTATAAGATATAATCATGACATATAAGTACCACATAGGAACCTGTTAGATATAATGGCTCAAAATACAATCACATAGAGATGTCAAATATTAGTACCTTTTTTTTGCTCGTCTTTTCTCAGCTTTTCTCCTATCTTTTTCTTCTTCCGCTATTAAATCTTCGGCAATTTTATAAGCATCCTGATAAAACAATTATTTAAATGAAATCATATTTTTATACATAGAGAGAGAGAAAGAGAGAAAGAAGAGATATTGTTTACGAGACAAGAGTATGCCGAAGATGTATGTATATATATATATATATATATATAATTTCCTTCTGCCAATTAATTCACAGAGAAAAACTTATTATATATCTAAAAATAACCCACGTTTTGCTCCAAAAATCATTTCCATGATCACCACACGTCACTTTTCTAACTTAAAAACATTAAACCCCTTCCTCCCCATTTTAGATAAACGTAAAATATGTTTCAAAAACCTAGGCTGTTTTTTTGGAAACCATATTCAATTAAACAATGTTGTTCTAATAGATAAAAGAAAAAGGGATACAGAAGAAAATTATAGGAAAAACAACGACTCTCTCTGAAAGTTTTAGTAAGTTAACGCAGCTTTAAAAGGTCACAAATTTAATGTTTATATTGAATTATATATTTCATAATTACAAAAACTACTTGGTAATCTCGTTCTCAGTTTTTTTTACTAAATGCCATTCTCGTTAACCTAAATTTACTGATATATTACTGGAGAAAACTGAGTATCAGGTACTGGGATCGTAAGATTTTTCTAAGCCTATCTTCAGAGATCAAAATGTTGACAATAAAAAATGATGGAAAAATTAAGAGTTTACTCAAAAAAAAAGAAAAATGTGACCAAAGGAGTTTGAACTTATATTGTTCAGGAAATGAAATATTTTGTGTGAGTGTATATGTGAAAATATTATAGTGACAAAGGTGGCACTCTCAGCATTTGGACTTGAGATTTGTTTCTGTAAAACTAATGGTACGATAAACGAGTGTTAACCTATAAATGTGGGTATCTTTCAAGAGTAACAGGTAATAATCTTTGACTGATCATGAAACCCTAACAAACATCTTTGTGTTAATATTTTACATGGCACGTCACACATGCTTAACTAAAACACATCAAATCGAATGGCACACTGGAAGTGTATTAGACGACTGGTAAGTGATGGCTAAAACCTTACGTATTTAGTCTACTTTCTCTTTTATTGTTATTCTATCGAGTGGAGGGGTGACGAACAGATATTTTCTGAGAGGGAACGAAAAAAAATGTAAGGATGTCTGTCCCAAGGACCAATTAATAATAATAATGAAAAAAAAAACTACAACAACTGCTGATTAAACATACCACAGACGAATTAAAACATAGAATAAACTGTTACCGATGATGCCGTTTCCTTAACAAAAGTCCATCTTATTCTACTCGTACAATTGTTGCAGTAAAATAACAGATTATAAGCAAAAATTAGGCTAACATTTTAACTGTATTGTATAATAATAAGGGCCAAAAACACTGCTAGCAGCGAGGGTACCCAACTGATGGCCTAGAGCAGAATGGACATCGAGGCTTTTTACACTTTGTCTGTTACTCATAAATAAGACTAGTTATCGTTAATTGTAACTGTTACCACAGAATTCTAGTGGCTATTCCAGTATAAGTTAGTAGATAATAATTATCTACTTACTAATTATTAACTTTTAAATATAAAGGTGTAATAATAATTCTATGGTAAAAACACACAAATCTCAATTATTCTATTCCATTAACAGTTAAACCCTTCCCAAGAAAAACTCCATAAAATTACAGCATTTATTTTCTTCAGCATTAAAATTTGGTTTTGGAAATCTTCCTAAAACTATCAATTAACCTAAAAACAAAAAAAACTTGTGATATTTATTTTATACTAAACATATCGATGTAGGAAATTATTTAGAAAACCTGTTATAACACATACCTTAACATGAGTTTTCATCATGGTTGCTGTTATTTTTTCTGAAAAATAAACACATTTAATATTATATCTTTGGTTATTTCAAAATCCTTGTAGTTTCTGATCTAGGTTTTACACGTTTTTTTTCATTTCAATAAAGCTTCACGTGTCTCACAAACAAATAAAACAGCCATCTTATTCATCCAGAGCAGATTCAGCTGTGAGTTTTTTTTTAAATGTTTCACGACCTTACAGAACAACCACCTACGGATAAAACATGCTGGATCTGCCCCTGTCATCGCTACAAGAGTTAAAAGAATGAATTTGGTACCCAGCATGCTAGGGAAGTCGGGGGGGGGGGCTCGAAATAATTTAGAAAATCAGACTCGCTCTTCAGTAATCATTAATGTCTACTGCAGGGAGGGACTGAAATTTTTCTTGAATTAATTGTTTGTTTGTTTGTAATTAAGCAATGGGCTATCTGTGCTCTGCCCACCACGCGTATCGAAACCCGGTTTCTAGAGTTGTAAATCCGTAGACACACCGCTGTGCCACTGGGGATCTTCTTGAATTATTTCATGACATAAGATTTGTTACAAGGACTTTAAGTAAATATATGTTCTTTACATGTCATTAAGAGAAAAAAATTCCTAGAAACTGAAGTCAGTGTCCTGTTTATGACAGTAATAAAAGTTCTAAAAGTAAAACCTGTTAGCTGGAAATTACGAAATATATCTTCGTAATGATATCCATACTTGTGAAAGCATTGTATTTTAACGCAAGTGCCTCGGTAAACATTATTAACGAGCCATTTATCTCACCGTTATTTTCTAGTCTAATTGCATGGCCTAAATCATGGGAGACTGCTTCAATTTCACTTTCAACTGATGAATCATCATCCCAAGTATCTTCAACACTATCATCCATTTCGTAACCTATTTAAACCAAAGAGGGGATTAAGAAGAAGCAAAAAAAAAACAACACAGTAACATAATGATAGAACTTGTAAGGTATTTACCTACTATATATAAATTACAAATATTTAAAACCATGCACGTAAAACTTACGTGTTCTTTATTACATTACTTTATTAAATCGAAAATATCGGTCTGAATTCCCGTTAAATGCCCAAAGTCCACGCAATCCATTTACAGGTAAATGACTTCACGCCAAACAGCTGAAAGTCATTGGTTCAGAATAATTGCAATTTGCTATTGCCAGAATTTGTTGAAACATAAACGGATTTATCTCAATATATAAATAATTAATTTCTTCTC